ATGATGTCAATTAAAAAAAAATATTATATAGAGTCCAATCTTGGTGGTTCACTTCAGTTTTCCAGCATGAGGTGATCCACGTTTCCCGAAATATGGATCCCATTCCAAGAGAGATTGTGTAGAGCCTTCACTTCAGTTCTTTTTTTTTCCTACCAAGAGGAGAGGGTCCCCAAAGGGCTACCCATGTCCAAAGAGAGAAAGTGTAGAGCGTTCATTTCAGTTTTTTTTTTTCAAGTTTAGGGGAGGGAGGTCTCAAAATGACACCCCCCATTTTCAAAGAGAGATGGTGTAGAGCGTTCATTTCTGTTTTTTTTCCAAAGTTAGGGAGTTTTCAAATGGCTACCCATTTCAGAGAAAGAGAGAGAGAGAGAGAAGGGTAGAGCGTTCATTTCAGTTTTCCAAGGTAGATGGTGGTGGAGAATCCCAAAATGGCTACTCATGTCAAAGAGAGAGAGAGAAACGGTAGAGCGTTCATTTCAGTTTTCCAACATTAGAAGGTCCCAAAATACCTTCTGAATTCAAAGAGAGATCGTGTAGAGCGTTCATTTCCAGTTCTCCAAGATCAGAAGAAGAGGGTCCGCTTTTCCCAAAAGGGCTTTCCGTATTCAGAGACAGCGAAATGCAGACTTCAGTTTTCTCCCTCCCCAAGAATAGAGGGTCCCAAAATGGCTTTCCCATTTCAAAGAGAGAGGGAGAGGCGTTCATTTCCATTCTCCAAGATAGGGTCGTCTGCTTTTTCCCAAAATGGCTTCCCAATTCAAAGAGAGAGAGAGAGAGAGAGTGAAAGGGTGTGTAGAGCGGTCATGTTCATTCTCCAAGATAGGGTCGTCAGCTTTTTCTCAAAATGGCATCTCCCCATTCAAAAAGAGATCGTGACCAATTTTTTCCAGTTTTTTTCCAAGATGGGGGGGGAGAAGAAAACCTAGGATGGAATAACACGACACACAGAGAGAAAGAGAAAAAAAAACGCCATCTTGTCATTTTCTGATAGGGTACCGGTGTTCGAATACTTTTGTGACCGACTGTACCTTCACCAAAACATGTTCAATAAATTTCTACATGCTTCCATAGCATTTCTTGTTAAAATTCCTTGTTCTTTTGTCACGAGCCGATGTTTAAAAGATTTCCATATCTCCATCTACTGTTTCCAAGCTCGGGCAATCAATAGAAGTAAAATTGCGAAGAAAATTGAAAAGTCCTCCTTCATATGGTCTTGCATTGGGATAGTAAACTGTTGCCTTCAGTTGCCCATGGGAGTGTCAAAACTTTGGAAGATAGAGTTGCAGGTCTAATGATTGACAAAGACTTTGAGCATTTGCTTAGCGTACCTGTTGCCCTGAAATGCACTGGTGAGCATATGGCTAAACTAGTTCTTCGGGCCTTAGACCAATTTGGCCTATGTGACTGTATCATCAGTATGTCTTTTGATGCTACATTGTACCAGAATTGAATGAGAATTCGGAAGAACATTGTTGTAGTTGGCTTGCCGTCATCACACCCATGAACTAATATTGAAAGGAGTGTTTGAGGAGTCCTGTGGCATACCATCAAGTGGTCCTGACATCCAGATTTTTCAGAAGTTATAAGGCCTATGCGCTTTACTTGATAATAAGTTAGATACGACAATGCTGGATGGAGAAAATCCCATTCAAGGCTACTGGAAGAACTACAGGTGAAAATGATTTACTACATCCAAAATGTCCTAAGTCATTCAAGAGAAGACTACAAAGAGTTATTACAACTGTATCTCCAGTACCTAGGAAGTTGATTTCAAATCCATTTCAGTTTCAGGAGCTCTGCAACAACCATGTTAAACGGCAAAGGCAATATATGCACTTAAAATTGCCCTCTTCACTAAACAGTTGAATATTCCTCAACGCGAATTGAAAGGAATGAAACATTTTGTGAGCCTCATATATGTTCACTTTTGGTATGAAGCAACTGTAAGTCTATGGGTTCCAAAGTATGATTTGGATATGTTACAGCTTCTGAGCACGTACCGAGATGCAGACATAAGAAAAAGTGCTCTCGCTGTTGCTAAGAGATATCTTTGGTATTTGCCATAAACAAATGTAGGATTAACTTTTTCGAACAAATGTATTATTAAGGCTGATAAGGAAAATATTACTAAAAATTTAGAAACCAAACTTGCAAAAAAAAAAAAAAAAAAAAAATAAAAATTAGAGGGTAAAAACTAGTTTTGAAGGAACGACCTGGGGGGGGGGGGGGGGGGGGGGGGGGGGGGGGGGGGGGGGGGGGGGGGGGGGGGGCCATTTAGTTGCTGATAAAACAATGATATTCCTTGAATTATTTGGGATCCACAATATGACAGAATACTGCAGAGATTCTCTAAGAAGCCATGTGAAAGCTCTTAAAGTGGGCAATGTTACCGCAGAAAGAGGAGTTGCTCTGATAAAAAGTTTTACGAATCAGTCACGGACGAACAATACAAACAGTTCTCGTTGAGGTGTGGTTAAGCATCACAGAAAAAGTTTCGCCAAGCGAACAAAAGAAGGGATTGCATCGTTCAAAGTTGAATTATATAACATTATTTTGTCTATCATACTACTTATTAATCTTAGTGTGTGGTTGTAATATTATTGTTAATTTGTGATTTCTAGTTTTTCCTATAAAAGTAATTAACACTGAAAAATTGTATTTTTTGCCTTTTTTTACAAATCTGATCAAAATGTGCAATTTCTAAATGTTATCCAGTCTTCTTGAATCTTGGCGTATATAGCTTTTACGTCACTAAGACTCGGGGAGTAAGCAAAGTCTGCAAAAATTTTACATTTTATTTTTTGCCTTACAAAATGAAATACCCTAATATAGATATTACTAGGAAGTTCAGCGTTTATTTCTTAAGTTCTATTTGATATACTTTATGTTTAATTTGGCATTTGTTCTCTGAAACTGGAATTTATATATTTCAAAATAACTGGAACTAGTATTTTCCCTAAAATATATATATATATATATTTACATTTATTCTTATATGTTAAAAAGAACTTAACTATCAGGCTATTTTGAAATGATGTATTATAATCAGATCTGGGACCAGCCATCTTCAAGATTACTTTTTTTTTGACTGCATTTCGCTAATGAATAATTTTATTTTCTCCTAAGTATATACATAAAAATGCTGCTACAAGGCTGAGGCGCGTAGGTGTAGCTAATGACGTAACATATACTACATCCCGCGTTGAAATTTCATTTTCAAATTTGCATTTACATTACAGTTCAACATTGATACAATTGACAAAGAAATACACTTTTTTAAACAAATAAGGATATTAAATGAATAAAGTCGAATATATAAAAAATATAAACAGTACAGATGCAAATACACTCTAACAATCAATGCAAAAGGGAAATTCAATCATTCACTGGAAGCAAACAAATTTAGCTCGGGGAAAGTTCATTAGATTATGCAACCTTTTTATTTCTGAATTTCCGCTAACAAAGTTACGAGCATTATCAGAATATAAGCAAGAAGATTTTCCTCGTCTTGCGAAGAAGCGTTTTAGAGCTACAATTAATGTGGCTGTAGATAAGTCTGATACATAACTTTAATGAATAGCCTTAGTGGCAAAGCATACAAAGATTGAGAGCCTTAGTGGCAAAGCATACAAAGATTAAGACTAGGACTTAATTTGTAAAATTAGAAGTGCCGGAGCCCTATGGAAGACCGTCAGCAAAGAGGAACAAAGGTATTAAATAAATGATTATTAAAACATTCTAATTAAAAATTAAAAATTTATTATTTAATTAATTTTTAATTAATATTGTCATTATTATTTAATTAAATAAAATTAATTATTATTTTATTATTAAAATTGTTAAATAATTAATTAAATAAAATGTAAAGCGATAAATTAAAATTTAGAAAGCGATTTTTAATGTAATTTTACTGCAAAAAATAAAATTTTCGAGATCAAATTTCTACTGAAATTGTTGTTCAGTTTCCGGCGCGCTCCGCCTAGATTATGATTTATCCCAAAAACTAAGAAGTGCCAGAGCCGAGTTCCGCAATTTAAGCTCTGATTGAGACATAAATTTTTTGAAATGTGCCCTTGCGTTGACCCTTGTATTTAATCAAAAATGGGCCACAAAAGTTGATTCCACAGTTATAAAATGGAGGACTAGGGTTAACTCTCTCTGCAGGTAAGTTTCCTAAAAGCTGCTCAGAGGATCTGGGTTTATTTTTAAAGCACGTTATACATTTCCGATTTTTAGAGCTAAATGTCTTCCTCCTATTGGCCAAAATTCCTGCCTCACGCAATGTAATAATGTTAGGACCTATATTTAAATATCTTCTATGCAGAGATTCCATTATAATTTTAGTAAGTTTGTGCCTAGAAGGCAAAAGTTTGGGATGCTTTTTGTTTTAATCAAAGTCTGCATTTTGTAACGTCCAACTACGCGAAGGATCTCATTCTCATCCAAAAATGGGTTTAGGTTAATTTATTTACTATTCTTAATAATTTTGTTCCTCTTTAAACAATAAATTTCTTCACAAAATTCATTGCTTTGCACTAATCTTACCAATGCATCTGAAGCTTGGTTCAATTCTTCTACACTCAACTTACCCTTTCTGAGCTCCCTGGGATGTTTCATGCTATGAAAAAAAACCTGAAAATAAAGTTTAATATTCTACAAAGTTTAGTGAAATTATTACTTAAAGATAAAAAATTATCAATAAAGCCACAATTTGAATTAATTAATAAAATTGGTAAGCTAGAAGGTTTTAGTTCTTTTTCAAAGTCCTCATCCACTGGTGTTGCACAAGCACCTGACACTGGAAGGTCAAAAGTCATCCAAGCAGGCCCATTCCACCATAAGGAATTTTTAAACAATTCTGTAGCTGAGGTACCTCTGGAAATGCTTGCAGGGTTATCCATTGTTGGAACATACCTCTAGTCAAAATTTAGGCACAAGGAATTTATCAGCTTAACCCTATTATTCACAAAGGTTTTTAATCTTTCAGGAGATGTCTTGATTTAGGCTAACACAATCGTTGAATCACTCCATAGATAAATGCCGTTGAATTGGATTTGAAGAATAACAAGCAGCTTTGCCACAAGTCGGGCCAAGAGTAGCGCAGCTGACAGTTCCAGTCGTGGAATGGTTAGAGCCTTAATTGGGCAAACTCTTGATTTGCTGCACAGTAAACTTGTTTTCACTGCTCCGTCTGTGGCCTTTGAGACGATATAAATCACCGCACCGAAAGCCTTTTCGGATGCATCGCAGAATCCATGGAGATCAATAATGATGGCTTCAGGCATAAGAATGAATCTAGGAATTTCTAATTTATTAATTTCTGGTAGCTGCTTTAGAAATTTTAACCAGACTTTTAACTCACTTGATGGAATGTGATCGTCCCAATCGAGTTTATTCTTCCATATTTCTTGAAGAAATGTTTTGGTCTTGGTAATAACTGGACTAACAAGACCCAATGGATCGAAGAGTCGAGTGATGGATGAAAGGATTTCGCGTTTGTAAAACTGTTCAGATAACTTAAAATTAAAACAGTCTGACGAAGGTCGCCATAATAAACCAAGCGCCTTAACTGTAGGTTGGTTTGATATGAATATGTATTCCTCGGTTTTACTGTCATTTAACAAGTCTGGATTATTCGAAACCCATTTATTTAATTCCATAGCTCCTGCAGCTAACAGGTTTTGTAACTCAGCCTGCAATTTCCTGCTTCTTCTAAGTTATTAGATCCGGATAAAATATCATCAACGTATGTGTCGTTATTTAGTACCTTCGATGCCTGAGGAAATTTCCCTTGTTCATCCTCCGCTAATGCTCGCAGTGTCCTAGTTGCTAAAAATGGAGCACATGATGTTCCATAAGTTACTGTTTTCAATCTATATGTCTCCACGCGAGCAAACATACTCGGTTTCCACAATATCCGTTGTAAATCTCTATCAGCTCCATTGATTAGTATCTGAGCATACATTTTCTTGATGTCTGCATTCAATGCGTACCTAAGAGTGCGAAATCTGGATACAATAGAAAATAACTCTTGTTATACAGTTCCTCCATTTAAGAATATAGAATTGAGAGAAACCCCATTACTTGATTTAGAAGACGTATCAAAGACGACGCGGAGGGGAGTTGACGTACTCTCAGGACGAAAAATGGCATGATGGGGCATATAATATTCTATACTGGAACACACATCGTCTCTAATTCTTTCTATGTGATCAAAGGACAGAGATTCATCCATTAAATGGATATATAATATTGCCATGGTTTTATTTTTATCTAATTTCTTCCAAAGTAAGTTTAATCGCCTTTCTGCTATTTCCTTCGACGCTCCCAATCCCGGCAGTTTGTCTTCAATTACTGGTAACCTTACAATGTATCTTCCATTTTCAATTCTCTTATGTGTGGAAATGAAATGCTCCTCGCAGAATTCTTTTCAAGAGTTTTATCGCTTACATTTTTTGTGTGATCACCAGGAAAGGATTCTAACTCGAAGAATTGTTTGATAGACTTATCTAAATTATCATCTTCTGAAATTAACCCAGAAAATTATAAGAATTTGAATTTTTGATCGAACCTGTTACTAAAGAACCAAACACGCTATTTTGTAACAACAGTGAACCATCAAATGACTTGAATCTTTCTCCTTTTAACAATTCAAAAAATAATTCACACCCCAATAATACATGAATTTTGCTAGGCATATAAAAGATAGGATTTGCTAGTTTAGTTTCTTTTGGGAAATCTATTTTAGAAATATCAATTTTATTTGTAGACGTACGTTCCGTAATGAGAGGTAAAATAAAAAATGATAAAATCCTACACCAATCAAACCAAATCAATTTTGCGAGATTTTTGCGGGTGGTTTTTTTTTTTTTTTTTTTTTTTTTTTTTTTTTTTTTATATATTCGCCTCTACTTATTCCAGTTATGCTTGTATTTATTTTTTGCTTATTCAGTTCCAAAGCATCAGCCGCTTCAGTAGTCAATATATTGCAGCTGCTTCCAGAGTCCAATATTCCTTTTAATTTTACTTCTTTCCCACATGTGGTTTCAATAAATAATGATACCGTACATAACAACCCTGTCTGTTTACCTTTGTTAGTTAATACGGCACCTAACACTTCCGCAGACTGAGGAATCTTTTTCATTCTTCTCGGCGCCAATTGCCGATAATTCATTTGAAACAGTTTGAGAAACTTCGGGTTTTGAATCAATTGAATAAATGATCAAAGATTCCACGTAAAGGTTGATCATGGTTCTTTACATTCTAAACATATCTCACAACTTCGATTCGAATATTTTTACGTTTTGAGACACTCATTGTTGAAACTCTCACCGACAACCACGTGATTTGCGCATGCGCGCAGCAAAACCTAAAACAGAACTTTTTTTAACTGAACTTTGAAAACTCGTGATGGACGTTTGAGTGAAACATGTAATCCTACTCTTCTGCGTTATATATATATTTTAGTTTAGTGATGTGATTGTAAATCAAATATCTTATTATTATCTTAGAAGCCTCTCTCTTTCTGTGAGTAGTGCATCGATGAATGAAATAAACACTCCCGATACGCCTTTGGATTAGAAAGAAGATCGACTAAAAGGTAAGCCTTTTTACCTTTTATTTTCTAAGAAATTATTATGATTACACATTTTTTGGCATCCCGTACCGCGAATGAAAGCAAATTGTTGATACTTGTTGAATTATTGAATACTAAACAATAAAATGACAGAATTCATCGATACATTGAAAAGGAAACGCGGCCACATAAGGGCTGCCGTTACAAAATTAATTGGCTGAATCGAAACTGAATTATCAAAAACAGAAGTGAATGCAGAGGAACTAGAAATTTCCTTAGAACTCTTAAATGAAAAATCGATCGAGTTAAAGCAAATAGATGCCGATATAGAAAAATTAATAGACATAAAGGATCTAGACCAGGAATTAAACGGTGTTGACGAATATCGTGAAAGAATAACTACATTTAAATACAAAGCTAACAAAAAATTGAAAGAAATTAATATAGAACAACAAAAATTTAGTGTGTTAAGAAGCACTGAACAGTTAAGTATTATAGAAAACATTAAAAGCGAAAATCATAATGTGAAGCTTCCTAAACTTACGATTCCGAAGTTTTATGGCGAGAGCTGCGAATGGCTGACATTTTGGAACACTTTTTCATTAGCCATACACCAAAATAAAACGCTTGACGCAAATTTAATTATTTGAAATCCCTTTTGGGAGGTTTTTATAACACCGAAGAAAATTACGAAACTTCAGTTAAACTCCTCACAGAAAGATTTGGAAATAAAGATGTACTACTAAACGCCCATATAGACAAATTACTGAAAATAAGACCTCTAAAGGATTCTAATGACATTCAAAATTTCCAATTGAATTAAAAGTTATTCAATTACATACAAAAACATATTCGATGTCTTGAATCATTAAATATGACCTCAGAAACATATGGAGCACACCTATTTTGCTTAAAACATTGCCTGCAGATTTGGTTTTGGAATATAATAAAACACTTCGAAAATAAAATTACGATTTGAATCACCTAGTGGAATTTCTTTCTCAGCAATTAATTGCAAGGGAAAAGCTTTGCAATCGAAAGAAGCACCGTCAATTTCTCCTCATACAACCCCCTCCCCCGACAAACAAAACGCGAAAGCAAGCTGTCAACTTGGCATGATAAACGGGTACCAGATGTATCGTCTGCCTCGCAGTTGCTGTCTACAAATGAGAATCAAAATTATAAACATTCAAACTGCATATTTTGCGATTCAGATCATGAAAGTTATGAATGTCGGAATGCGAGTCGTTTAACCTTAGATGAAAAAAAGCAAAAATTGCTGAATCACGGATTCTGTTTTAAATGTTTGAAACGGAACCATATTTCCCGCTTATGCAAAACCAAAGTTAAATGTTCCATATGCGGTAAAGCTCATTTGTCAATAATGTGCAACTCTCACGGAAATAATTCTACAGACATTATTGGGGATGAAAATAATAAAAAAGACTGTGTTCTGACAAATAAATCTTGCATGCAGTTAGTAAATTTGCAAACTTTAATATTAAAAAACTTCGTGGGGATGGGATCGAAAAATATGTGAGAATTTTAATAGATAGTGGTTCCCAGCGATCCTACATTTCGAAGTATGCAGTTAGTATAATGAATTATAAAACAAGTGGTAAAGAAGAATTAATCCATGGTTTGTTCGGAGGAATTGAAAAGAAAGAAACTCATAGTAAATATTTAATTAGATTGAGTAGTCTTAAAGGTGATTATCACTGTAATTTTCAGGTTTTGGATCAGGATAAAATATGTACTGACATTCCTCAAATTCGTAGAGATACATATCTTATTGAACTGCGAAAACATGGAATTTAACTGACATGCAGAATAAATCTTTGATTTGATGTATGAAAAATCACCTTTAAAAATTCATGTTCTTTTAGGTGCAGATGTGGCAGGAAAGCTTCTAACAGGGAAAGTTAGACAACTAAAATGTGGGTTATCATGCGTACACACTAGATTAGGATGGACAATGATGGGGAAAAATGAAAAGCGTGAGTTCTCTGACAGTACGAAAACTGTATTGTCACTTCATGTTAATGATGCTAAAATTTCGGATTTACGGTGGTGTCTTGACTCGTTAATGATGCTAAACGGATCCTGACTACAACCCACACAAGAAAGGAAATTAATGAAATCGCTAAAACATAATTTTGTCAGTCATTAAAGAGAGATAGTGAGGGTAGATATCAGGTCTCTCTTCCTTGGTTAGAAGGGCATGAGGGTTTTACCTGACAACAGATTATTAGCAGAGAAAAGGTTAAAATCCTGCATCAAAAATCTTCAGTCAAAAAACTGTCTGAAAGAGTATGAAAATATTTTTAGCAAATGGGCTGAAAAAGGTATTATAGAATCTGTTGAAGATAAGAAAACCAAAAATTGTCATTAACTACCACATAGGGCTGTAATTAAGCAAAGTTCAACCACAAAGATTAGACCTGTGTTCGATGCCTCAGCGAAGGAAAGGAATGGTGTGTCCTTAAATGACTGTTTAGAAAAGGGCCCAAATTATTTGGAATTAATACCGAGTATTTTAAACAGATTTCGCCTAGGTAAATACGGGGTTATCTCAGATATATGTAAGGCCTTTTTGCAAATAGGTGTCTGTCTTCGAGATAGAGACTTTCTTAGATTTCTCTGGTGGGAAGAAGGAGATTCCGAAAAATTTAAAATATATCGACATAAGCGCGTTGTGTTTGGCGTTAATGGCAGTCCTTTTTTTCTCGCCGCCACACTGAATTATCATCTCGAGAATGTTCCTGAACATCAACAAGAGGTAGCTAAGAAATTAAGTGAATCAATGTACGTCGACAATTGTGTGGCCAGCATTGATACTATTGAAGGACTAAACACTTTCATTAATGTGTCGAAGGAAATTATGTCGACTGCTAAATTTGATTTAAGGGGATGGTGTTACAATGAACCTAGCAATGAAACTTTAAAAGGAAATCCTTGCAATAAAGACTCCGATAAAACCGTATCAGTTCTGGGGTTGAAATGGAATTTATCAAATGACACTTTGTCCTGTGACTTTAAAGATAGTTCTGTGAAACAGCCTGTCAACAAAAGGAATATATTGTC